TTCATTACCCCTTTTAGTTTAGTACTGATCCCTTTGTAGTGTAGACATGGACCCTACTACACTAACTGCCACCCCTACTGTCTCACCAGATCAGCAGTTACAAGTAGAACTAGCTCAATATGTGTAGACCTCTATCTAAGAGGCCTTTACCAACCACATGCCCCTAGCCCCTTCAGAACCTGTTCTGATTGTTCTGGAAGTTGTAACCTGTTCTAGAAAGAAAGTGTATGTAGCCTACCCTTCAGACTTCAATAGGTAGCACTTTGAGGACTTCCAGCACCAAGTCAAACTATATGTGGCTACTACTTCAACTGATCTATCCTCAGATCTTGATCACATCCTATTTGTCCTCTCCTTCATGAAGGAAGGCAACACAGCCACCTGGGCCCAGAACTGGATTGAAGGTCATTAGATTGGAAGCCTAATCCAACTTCAGAACAATGAGTCATACTCAGAATTCATAGGGCAGCTCTGTGCTTCCTTCATCAATCCAAATGAGAAGTATAATGTACAGAACAAGCTTGTGTCTCTGTGACAGGGCAAACATTCTACTAATGCCTTCTTTCAGGAGTTTGATATCCTGGCCCAGAAGACAGGATTCATGCTCAGGTTTGATAATGTCCTCATCAGAATGCTTGAAAAAGCTCTTCACTCAGAACTGGTCAATAAGATTCTTAGAATGATGCTAGAACTAGTCACCTACACTGAGTGGAAGATACACACCATCTCCTTCAACCAAGCTGTAGCTTGAATGTGTCAAGTCTGTACAGAATGCTTACACATGTATCCAGCTCTAACAGTTCCAAGCCCTTGAATCAATCTGCCTGTAATTTGCAATCAATCCATTCTGATAGACATTAGAGAAGCCTGAAAGTAAGGAGCATGCTTTGCCTGCAGAAAGTCAGGGCACCAAATTAAGGACTGCCTACAGAAGTGACAGTACATCTGTCAGGTTATTAGAGTAATGATGAGTGACAAGCAGGATTTGTAGTAAGAAGCCTTTTCTACAAATCCAGAAGTCACCTTAGAACTCCTAGACCCTGACTACATACTCTAGGATTTTGTAGAGGCCTAACAGTGAATGTGGTACTGAAGGGCTATGACTCAGATTTTTTAATGACCACTTTTGATTCAATAGACACTGTAGGATTAGAAGTAAATAAAGTAAGAAAAGTAGAAAAAGTAGAAAAAGTAGAAAAAATAAATCAACAAAATTATTTATTAGATAGAAAAAAGTTGAAAACAAAAGTAGATAGTTCTCCTATTTCTTCTGATTCTTTTGATTCTTCTCTTCACACTTTATCCAAGTCTAAATCTACACAATCTGACCTACTACTTCTGTGTTCCAAGATCTTAGAACGTTTGGAACATTACCCAGCCCTGTTTACTACTCAGTAGTTTGTCTGTAGTATCAAGTAGGGATGGCCTCAGCTAAGTTCACAGCTGAGGACATGAGTCTGTCCTTGTTGAAAGAGAGAGGTTAATAAGGAAATGTTAGTGTATATACTTACCCTTTTAGACAATGAGGCTGCACAAGCTGTACATTCCCTTCAGAACAAGCAGCAGTTCATCCAAGGACATTCTGGGTACTAGCTCCAAGTCCCTGTCCTTTTGGCTCCCTTCTTAGGATCCCCCCAGATCTGAACAACAGTTCTAGTGAACAGTAGATGTACTAGTTTGTGTATTAATAAGGCCTTTGTGTAGGAACACCACCTCCCTACTTGATGTGTTCTACTTCCAATCCTAGTATACAATGTAGACAGAACCCTGAACCAGAATAGTTAGATTACTGAGTTTGTCCAACTATGAATGACCATTCAGGATCATAAGGAAAGTATTGAGTTCAGAGTCACTAACCTTGGAAAGACAGACATCTTCATCAGATTCAAATGGCTTAAGGCTCACAACCCTACTATTGACTAGTTAGAGTAGACACTTGTGTTCAATCAGTGTCCTGAGTCTTACAACTACCTTGTACCACTGTTCTGAGTGGATGTAAACACTTCTAATGTTACTAACAGTTCTGATAAGGGTGACTAGTTGTTCTTCTTCAACTAGGATAGATATGTGGATACATATTCTAGTTGAGGCAGAATAGAGTCAATCTGAAGGATGTCTAAGATAGAACCAGTCTAGAACCCCTTTGGAACAACTCTACTCTGGAACACACACAGACCCAGCCTGCCAGATTTTGTCCAAGAGTTCCCTAAAGTCTTTAGTGAAGAGGAATTCAACCAGCTTCCTAAACACTGTCTCTAGGACTATGTAATTGAATTGACCAAGGGTTTCCAACTTAAGGATTGTAAGGTCTACCTGCTCAACAGAGACAAGTAGGAGGTGCTTGATGAGTTCCTTTAGGAAAATCTTTGGAACAGCCAGATCCAACCCTCAAAGTCCTCTATAGCCTCCCCTTTCTTCTTTGTCAAAAAGAAAGATAGGAAGCTCTACCCAGTCCAGGATTATCATTGTCTCAATAAGAGTACTGTCAAAAACAAGTACTTGCTCCCTCTAATTCAGGAGCTCATTAATAAGACACATACATCTAGGGTTTTCACTAAGTTGGATGTTTGATAGGGATACAATAATATTTGGATCCAAGACAGAGATGAGTGGAAGGCTGTATTCTAAACCAATTGTAGATTGTACAAACCAACTGTAATGTTCTTTAGACTAACTAACTTGCTTACAATGTTCTAGTCATTCATGAATCACA